TTTTTTTTTTTTTTTGGTTTGTTTTGTATTGTTTTGTTTTACAAGACAGGGTTTCCTTGTGCAGCTCTGACTGTCCTGGAACTCACTCTGTAGACCAGGCTGGCCTCCAACTCAGAGATCCACCTGCCTCTTCCTCTCAAATGTAACATGATTAATAAGAACCAGTGGCTGTCTGTTTTGCTTTTCTGATCTTCAGGTTGACCCCAATATCTGGCTCTGAATTTTTAGTAATCATGCTACACTCAAGTGCGAGATTAAAGGCATGGGCCACTACCTCCCTGCCTTTTTTTCTTTCTTTTAAGACGGAGTCTCACTATGTAGCCCTGGTGGGCCTGGGACTTGCTATGTACACCAGGCTAGCCTAGAACACAGATGAATGTGTTTGCCTCTGTCTCTCAAGTATTGGGATTAAAGATGTGTGTCACTACACTCAGGGAAAAATTTCATTTTAACACTAAAACACAAAACAAAGTGCTACTTAATGGCAAACACATGTGATACAACTCGAGAGAATAAAGGGGTGCGTGGTTGAGGAGATAACTCGGTCAGCAGAACAATAGGGCACTTTCAGAGTACAAGGACTGGAGTTCCATCCTCAGAACTCACATAACACACACACACATACACACAACACAACAAAAACAAAACAGCAGCTCTGAGCATGGTGGCACATGCTTGTAGTCTCTTTGGCTAGCCAGTCTAGCTGAATCGGCAAGCTTCAGTCTAATGAGATACCCTGTCTTGAGGGAAAACACCCACGGTTGTCCTCTGGCCTCTGTATATACATCACATAAACACAGAATGGGTGAAAGACAGTAAGGTGTAGGACAGTGCTCCTTTGGGAGCCTGGAGATGGCATGGGACTGGGAGAGATTGAAGGCAATGGTTGGTTGGCTGCTTCATTCCTTCCTTTCCTCGTTTTAAGACAGGATCTCCTGTTGTTCAGGTTGGGTGTATAGCTGAGGGTGATATTTAGCATCAGATTCCTCTGCTTTTAGTTCTTGTAATCTTGGGATTATCAAGGTGTTACCATGCTTGGCTTTTTGTTTTGTTTGTTTTGTTTTGTTTTTCTGAGGTAGCGTTTCCTCTGTGTAGCCCTGGCTGTCCTGCCACTCACTGTGTAGACCAGGCTGGTCTCAAACTCAGAGATCCTCCTGGTTTTGCCTCCTGAGTGCTGGGATTAAAGGTGTGTGCCACCACCCTCTGGCTATGCCTAACTTTTTTATTTTTATGATAATCTTTTGAAACTTTAATAAAAATTTTTGCTGGGCATGGGGTGTAGACCTATAGTCTCAGCTACTTAGGAGGCTGAGGCAGGGATGACCTATGAAACTAGGAGTTTGGGGCGACTCTGGGAGTATGTAGTGAGATCCCATCACTTAAAATGAGATGGGCGGGGAACTGCTTTTCCAAAGGACCTGAGTTCAGATCATCATGTACCCAGATGTTGAGGAGAGAAGACTGAAGTGTGAGCTGATGGAGAGGAGACGCTGCTTGAGGACCCCATAGTGACCCCTTCACCCTCTGTAGGGTCAGTGTTCAGACTCCCTTTTGTGTAGATCTCTCTTGGATTGTAATTGAACATTTCCACCTGTTTACAGCATTTAAAAGTTGCCAAACTTTAACTGGGAGTGGTGGCCCACGACTTTAATCACTGCAGAACCAGGTAGATCTTTGAGAGTTCAGTCCAGTATGGTCTACATAGTGAGTTCCATAACAGCCAGGGGTATTTTGAGCAGTGGTTCTCAACCTTCCTAATGCTGCAACCTCATGTTGTAGTGACCCCAAAACACTAAATTATTTTCATTGCTACTTCAGAATTATATTTTTTGTTACTGTTATGAGTCATAATGTAAATATTTGTGTTTTCCAATGGCCTCAGGTGGCCCTTGTGAAAGAGTCGTTCAATCCCCAAAGGGGTTTGGCCCACAAGTTGAAACTACCTGTGTAGAGACCCTGTCTCAAAAATGAACAAAAAGCTGCAGAACTTTGCTTTCATGGTTAACATTTCATGGCTAGAATGAAGTTGTTAATTAAAGAGTTATGTTTAAGAAATTAAACTGTTTAGCCTTGCGATGGTGGCGCATGCCTTTAATCCCAGGACTCAGAAGGTAGAGGTTGGCAGGTCTCTGTGAGTTTGAGGCCAGTTTGGTTCAAAAGAGCTAATTCCAGGACAGGCTCCAAAGCTACAGAGAAAGCCTGTCTCGAAAAACAAACAAACAAATGAAACAGAAAACTAAGAGAAATTAAATTGTTTGAGAAGAAGCGCATGCAAATCCTTATTCTTTCTTTGAACTGGGATGTGTGTGGGGGTGTTTCTTCTAAACCATTTAGAACATCGATTCTTAACCCCTGGGTCTCAACCCCTTTGCCAAATCTCTATCTCCAAAAATATTTACATTACAATATAACAATAGCAAAATTACAGTTATGAAGTAGCAACAAAAATAATTTTGTGATTGGGGAATCACCAAAACATAAAGAACTCTGTTAAAGGGTCACAGCATTAGGAAGTTTGAGAACCTCTGAATTAGACCATGAATAAAATAGCAGTGGAAAAATCAAAAGGTTTGATAACAAAGAAAAGCAGTAAAACATTAACAACACCAAAATTTTAAAAGGCAACAAAACCAAATACTTAGAAAAATATTTCTTCCCAAATGTATTTTCTAAAATATATCTATTGAAATCAATGAGAACATGGGGTTATTCAGTTTGTAGATGAATAAAGATATACACATGTGGAAAATGTTTAATTTTTTTTTAAGATTTATTTATTGATTATGTATACAGTATTCTCAGTGCTCTGCCTGCAGGCCAGAAGAGGGCACCAGATCTCATTACAGATGGTTGTGAGCCACCATGTGGTTGCTGGGAATTGAACTCAGGTCCTTTGGGAGAGCAGGTGGTGCTCTTAACCACTGAGCCATCTCTCCAGCCCCAATGTTTAATCTTTTTACTAATCAAAGAACTGCACACTAACGCTGCTTTAAAAGATTCACTTTATTTTTGTATATTGATTTGGGTGCCTGTGTGGAGGCTAGAAGAAGGTGTTGATTGCCAAGCATGTGGTGTACACCTTTAATCCTAGCAGTTTGGGAGGCAGAGGCAGGCAGATCTCTGTGAATTTGAGGTCAGTCTGCTGGTCTACACAGTGAATTCTAGTGAGCCATGGATACATAGTGAGACCCTGTCTTGGGCAAGTTACATGGGTGCTGGGATCTGAGCTCTGGTCCTCATAATTGCTCAGCTAACTTTGTTTTAGCTTCTGAGCCATCTGTTCAGTCCTAATAAGTATTATTTTTTTATCTTTCAAATGATTCTTTGGACAAGATCACATGTAGTCTGGGTAGTTGGAGTTTGCTATGTAATGGAGGGTGACTTTGAACTTTATCATCTTGCCTCTTCCTCCCAAAGACTGGGATTACAGGTATTGATCACTATGCCTAGCTCCTAGGTCCCCTCCAGTTGTTAAAAGCTGATAAAGCAGATTCTTTTCTGTGCTTGCCTCTTGGAAAGCCACTTGAAGTATCTATTAAGAGCCCACCCAGGTTTACCAGGCAGTGGTGGTGCACACCTTTAATCCCAGCACTCAGGAGACACAGGCAGGAGGATCTCTGTGAGTTTGAGGCCAGTCTGGTCTACAAGAGCTAGTTCCAGGACAGCTAGGACTGTTATATAGAGAAATTCTGTCTCAAAACAAAAACAAACAAAAAACAAACAAACAAGAAGAAGAGTTCAGAGTTAGGGAGTTGGTTCAGCTGGTAAAACACTCATGCAAGCTTAAAGGACCACAATTGGGATTTCCCAACACCCATGTAAGTGTCAGGTAGGAAGATGACATGCCTGTAATCCCAATATGTAGAAGCCAGAGACAGGATTCCTAGGGCAAGCTGGATAGCGAGATTAGTTGAATCAGTGAGCTCTAGGTTCAAGTGAGAGACCCTACTATGGAGAGCAATTGGCAGCTCACCGGCAGCTTCTAGCCTCCGTAGGTAAGTGCTACACACTCCTATAGGCGCCCCTTCACACATAGGAACATACATACACTCATGCATGCATACCACACACACATGTCCTCTCAAAAAGTACTTTCATTTTTCTATTGGAGCACTTATCTGACTCCTAGGAGATAGTTATGCTTTTATATTTTTATTTAAATTATTAGAAAGTTTTTATTTGAGTGTGTGTGTGTGGTGTGTGTGTGTGTGTGTATTTACCATGTAAGCACAGGTGCCTTTGGAAGTCGGAAGAGGGTGTCAGATCCCCTGGAGCTGTACTGCAGGCAGTGACCTACCTGACATGGGTTCTGGTATCTGAACTCAAGCACTCTGCAAGAGTAGCATGAGCTCTCAACTGCTCAGCAGCCTGTCTAGCCTAGGTTATTTTTTTTAAACAATTGTAGTTGATTTGAGAAATGGGATGTCAGATGATTTCATTGTTGTGAGATCATAGTATACAAACTGACAACTACAATATCACTAGACAACATCATCTTAGGAGACTACTGTTGTAAATGGATCCATTGTTGACCTAAATGTCATTATAGCCACAACTGTAACCCAAGATACATTAAAAATTCCAGCAAAAACAGTTATTGCAGGATTGTTTGTGATGCTATAGAATTGAAAACAATTGAATAAACAAAAGAGGCAGCTTGGCTAAGGGATCATGAACTATTGCATAATTGATGTAAATTAGTTTTTTTTAAAAATAATGTTTGCTGGCATAGCAAAAGCTCACAGTATAAATCTGTACTATTGTATAATTCTAACATATTACCAGTGATTCTCCCTGGGTTGGATTCTCCCCTCTTCTAGTTTAATGGTTAAGAGCTAGGTTTTGGGGTTAACAAATCCTCTCACCTTGGAAGTCAGCAGTCAGTCTTGACCATCCTCAGTGGTATTGTGGCATAGACCCTCCTTATTCATAAGGACCCTAGTGATCACACTGGATCTACTGGCTAATCCAGTCTTATCTGCCTACTTTAGGTCTAATGGACAAGGAACCTTAAGCCCATTTCCAGCTTGACTTCTTCCCCTTTGCCATGGAAGGTAATGTACTTGCAAGTGTGATGACCATCCTATGCTATCTGGACAACCTTGGCAGGTGGTTTCTTTATCTGTAACAGGCTTTCTCCTATCTCAGGACTTGGGTGTTTTGGGTGGGCAGTTCTTGTTTGTTTTTTAGTCTGACGGTCCTCCTCATTGTAGACTCTAACAGCATTCCTGGGCTGTTGTTCATCAGGAGTGGCTGATTCCTTCCCCCCAGCATTTGCTGCTTGTCCCTTGGAGGTGAAGTCACCCCTAGATGAGTACTGATCTCTAAAGCAGCTGCAGTTCTTACCATTTGGTACAGTCGTGAGGATCCTCTCCACGGTGTCTGTCTGTATTTTTTTTAAAGAATTTAATTTGGTCTCTTGTGTTGATACATAAAACATAAAGATTGTGCTTGTTTATGGGATGGGATTATGTTCATGTGCACACAGGATATAAATCAGGGGAAACCTGCCCATTCTTAAACAGCTGTCATTCTGTGGAAACAGTCAAGCTCCGTTCTTCTAACTCTTTGCACTTATGTATGTAAAACTATTAAAAATAAACAGTGGTTTGGTAGGAGAGTCAATACTCCAGAGGAACGGTATCTTTTTTTTTTTTAAAAAAGATTTATTTTATTTTTAAGTGTGTATTTTCATGTGCTCATATGTATGAATGTGCCCATGGAGGCCAGAGGCATCAGATGCCCAGGAGCTGGAGTTATAGGTGACTGTAAGCCACACAGCATGGGGACTGGAAACCAAGGTCCTCTGTTAGAGCAGTATATTCTCTTAACTCATCTCACCAGCCCCAAAGTTACTTTTTAATGAAAACTCTAAAAAAAACTTTAAATTATTCAAATAGTAGTTTCCCTCATATTATTAAAAATTAAAAATACAGATAGCATTAATATTTTTCTTCTGATCTTGCCTGTCTTTGTCATTCCCTCCCCAGTGGCAACTCCTAAGAGGCAAATACCACAAGGGCAGGAACTGTATCTCTCTGTCTGTCCGTCCGTCCATCCATCCATCCATCCATCCATCCATCCATCCATCCATCCATCTATCTATCTATCTATCTATCTATCTATCTATCTATCTATCTATCTATCTATCTACAGGGTCTCACATTGTAGACCAGGCTGGCCTGGAACTCACAGAGATCTGAAGGGCAAGGACTTTATTGGTGAGGTCATCTTCTCAGTTGGAGATGGAACCAAGTCTACAGCAGTCACCCCATTCATGTTTGTTAGTGATTGAGTTCATGTATGTTATCTCACCATTTAAAAATGCTACATAAATCCCAGAAATTATTAGTATATTCCAATTTTTTAAGTTAGCTGACCTCGCTTTCAGTGGGTTAACACTACTGCATGGTTGGAGGTTTGCAGATTCGGACCCGCGGCAGCAGCCCGCGACAGGGAACTCAGACGTTCCTCATCCTCCCTATACTTCCTGGGCTTCCTGCTGGGCCTATACTCCCAGCATACTGCCTCTCTCTTCCTATCCCACCCAGCTTGCATCCAGAACCCTCCCCACTTCTGCCTCCCTTCTCCCTTGGGGCGGGCGCTGGGGCTGAATCCCGAGGGCAACCTAGCTGGCGGGAGCTCCTTAGTTTCAATAGCCTGCCTGCAGCAAGCAAGGTAGATGTTTTGTTTACGAGCTACCCAACCAGCACGGAGGTTTGCAAATGTTTATATACTCACACAGGTGCACACTGTGGTAGTTTGAGTGTAATTGATCCCCATGAGCTCATAGGGACCAGCACTATTAGGAGATGTGGCTTTGTTGGAATAGTATGGCCTTGTTGGAGGAAGTGTGTGAGGGAGCTTTGATGTCTCACAGATGCTCGAGCCACACCCAGTACCTCAGTTCACTTTCTGTTGCCTGCGGATCAAAGATACAGGACTCCTGGCTCCTTCTCCAGCATATGTCTGTCTGCATGCCGACATGTCCCCCTGTGATGACAATGAACTGAACCTCTGAAAATGTAAGTCACCCTAATTAAAATGGTATTTATTTATTTATTTATTTGTTTGTTTGTTTGTTTATAAGAGTTGCCATGGTCCGGTTTCTCAGAAAATTAGGAAACAACCTTCCTCAAGACCCAGCAATACCACTTTTTGGTATATATCCAAAGGATGCTCAATCATGCCACAAGGATATGTGCTCAGCTATGTTCATAGCAGCATTGTTTGTCATAGCCAGAACCTGGAAGCAGCCTAAATACCCCTTGACTGAAGAATTGATAAGGAAAATGTGGTACATTTCCACAATGGAGTACTACACAGTAGAAAAAAATAACGACATCTTAAAATTTGCAGGCAAATGAATGGAGATAGAAAACATCATTTTGAGTGAGGTAACCCAGACACAGAAAGACAATTATCACATGTACTCATTCATAAGTGGTTTTTAAACAAAAAGCAAAGAAAACCAGCCCACAAATCACAATCCCAGAGAACTTAGATAACAATGAGGACACTAAGAGAGACATACATAGATCTAATCTACATGGGAAGTAGAAAAAAACAAGATCTCCTGAGTAAATTGGGAGCATGGGGACTTTTGGGGGAGATCTGAAGGGGAGGGGAGAGGCAGGGAGGGGAGATGAGAAAAAATGTAGAGCTCAATAAAAATCAATAAAAAATAAGAGTTGCCATGATCATGGTGTCTCTTTACAGCAATAGAAACCCTAAGACACATATGCACACACTTTTTTTCCTTCAGTTTACTGTAGCTGAGATGCCCGTATATACTACAATTTGCCTGATTTTGTTACATGTCTTCGAATCTTTCCAGATCTCTACATTCTTCTGTTGCTGTAAAGACGAGCCATAGTTTATTTAAGGGGTGCTGGCCAGTGCCCCATCTTTCTTGACAGGACTGGCTGGTGCTCAGTGGAAAAAAATCTCTTGCTGATGGAGCATAGTGCTGTGCAAGCCAGAGAAGCCAGCTGATATTTTTGTTTTCACTAGCATGCCAATCTTTGAATCTTTTGGGTTTGACTGCGTCATAGTCTTGTCTAGAAATCTACCCTGAGCCTATTTTTAGCTGTTTGGCCAGGGGCTCAGCTGAGCTGCACAGACGTGTGTGCACAGGGTGGGCTGTAGTCTGTAGGTGCAGCCTCCCCAGGCAGCCTCGAATTTTAGGGTATGTCTGTTCCTTCCTGATGAACCTGTCTTGGAGCTTTGGAATCTTGAGGTTCTGAATCTTAAGGCAGGATTGACACTCTTTGGAGTCAGCTTCAGTTCCAGTGGATTCCTGGGTCCTTTTCTGTTCCTGCTGGGACCATGATAGTGGTTGGATATTAAAAGGGTGTTGCATCTGCCCCTACCCTCTGTCCACTGTGCACATTCTCAGCTTTTTGCCTTCACACAAGCTGTTTCAGTTACTACAAATATTCTTCTCTTCCTCCTTGTTGTCTTTTACTTATTTTTATTTGGTTTTTCGAAACAGCATTTCTCTGTATAGCCCTGGCTATATTTTGGAACTTGCTCTGTAGACCAAGTTGGCTTCAAACTCCCAAATGCTCCAAATGCCTGCCTCTGCCTCCCAAATGCTGGGATTAAAGGTGTGCACCACCAGTGCCCAGCTTCCTTGCTGCCTTTTAAATCTCATCTTAAATGATCCCAGAAACTCCCCCTTTTCTCATATACATAATAGAATTGGTCACTTTCTTTTCTTAGTCCTCAGGGACTTTGCCCTTGTTACCTGGTTGTCACAGGTGGAGCTGATGCTCCTTGTTGGGTGGGACCTTTGGCAGGAGGGACTCTTGGTACCCACTCTGGCTTTTGAGTATCTTGGAACAAAGGAATTCTGCAGTCTGAGGCTGCAGAATGGAGTGTAGGAACAAAGAGGGCACTGAGAATCCCAGGGTCAGAGGACACCCAAAGGGCTGGGCTGTGCACACACACTTACCCAGTATGCATAGACCTTGTAGTCAGTAGAGCACACAGAGTTGGCTGTGCTGAGGGGTTTCCTTTTCAGCTTGGCTTCACATGAAGGAATGAGAACCCAGTTGCAGAGATTTGAATTTGACCAGTAGAAGGCTTTCATTTCTAGAAAAAGACTAAAAGAAAATGGCAATCCAGATAATCACATCTACAAATTGCCACACTCCCCAGCACTCTCTCCATGTTGGGAGCTACTCAGACAAGCCCAGCAGTGGCCACTTTTCTAGGGGTATGGCTATCTAGGGGGAGACTGAGAAGGAGGCAACAGAATGTGGGGAGTTGCTGCTACCTTGAACAGATGGCTCCAGCTGCAGTGTTTTGTTTGTTCGAGACAGGCGCTCACTATGTAGCTCTGTCTAGCCTGAACTCACTCTGTAGACCAGGCTGGTCTCAACCTCATAGAGATTGTCTGCCTCGGCCTCCTGAATGCTGAGATTAAAGTCACCACACCTGGCTGAACTCCTTTAAGCAGAAGAGGCTGCTGCTTTCTAGAAGCCTATCAACTCTCATTTTAACACATTTATAAAAAGCATTTTATCTGGTTTCTTTATAAAAAAAATTTAAATTGCATATGTTTATTTTCATTTGAATATACACAGATCAAAAGATTGCATTTTATTAGTTATTTTTATTAGAGACAGAGTGCAGCACTGGTTTCTGATGGGGGAAATGTATTTCTAACAGGAATGTGTCTTGATGATGACTTGAATAAAGCTGTAACAACACCTTGTGTGGTGCCCAGAATGCGGGCCTAAGACTTGAAGCTGCAGGCAGCAAATGTTCTCAGAAAGACATGCCTCAGATGCTGCTGGCTGCTACCCCTTCCCCATAGACACGATGTTGTGTGACCCATGGGCACAGCACTGATGAGCTCAGCAGGCCCATCCTTGGAGGACATGGGTGAATACATGTAGACAATGCTTTCAAAACTGATGAGATTCAGGAAAAAATGTTCCAAGGCACCAAGGATATAAAGCTTTTTATAAAATATACAGAAAAGAGGGGCCAGCGAGATTGCATAGTGGGTAAAGGCTCAGTTAGGTGGTTATGTAGAGAAGCCTTATGGTGGTTGCCATTTAACTGCATATTTTTCAACCGTACATGGAGTACTTATCAAAATGGATCGCTTACTATCCCAATGCAAGAGTCAACACTACAATTTGGGTGTGAAACATCTTCCTTAGGCTCACGTTTTGAATGCTTTGTCCCCAGCTGGTAGGCTGGCCCTACTGGTCTACTTCCCGTATGTTTCACAGCCCCTAGAGTAGTCTGGTTCTTATCTTCTCTGTTTGGCCCTCCATGCTGTGAGGGTACCATGGAATGAGTTGCTCCATCATGCTATCCCTACAGTGATGAACTGAAATGGTGAATCCAAGTAAGCCCCTCCTGTCTTAAGTTGATCATGTCGTATTGTTTGGACACAGCAACACAAAAGGAGCTAATATATTTATTAAGTAATAAAGAACTGACAGACAGACAAGATTCACAAGCATTAGTACAGTAAAATTACAAACAATACTTTGCAAAAAGTTATCCCCAAACTGAAGGAGATTGTTCCTAGGATTGTTCAACAATCTTCAGTGAAAATGTGAAGAATTATGGCCACAACTGCTGATCTAATTATTGGGAACTAAATGGCTTTTAAGGACCCAAGAGGAGCTTGGTTTTGCACATCTAAATATGGAAATTTAATAACTGTACTTGATGCAGCCCTCTATCTCTGTCTGTAGTGCTGCAGAGAGAAAATTAGTCTTGGTGTTTGTAATTTTACAGATATTAAGAGACTGGTGCAAACAAGACTCACGAGGTGGAGGGATTGAGGTGGTGGAGCTCATCTCGTGGCCCAGTCGGGCTGTTGATACAGTGTAAGAACTGGAGGTCCTGATTGCTGAGTCACACACGGGATCTGCATGTGGGGATAGTGAAGTCACCTAGGTGATAGGTAAAACGTGTGTGGTGTGTGTATATGTGTGCATGTATGTGCGTGCATGTGTGTGTATGTGTGTGTATGTGTGTGGTGTGTGTATATGTGTGTGATGTGTGTATGTGTGTGTATGTGTGTGTGTATATGTGTATGTGTGTGTATGTGTGTGGTGTGTGTGTATGTGTGTGTGTATGTGTGTGTATGTGCGTATGTATGTGTATGTGTGTGTGCTCTAGGGAGAGCATGCATTACTTCCATCAGATTCTTGAAGGGACCCATAACTACCAAAACACTGAGGACCTCGAATGTAGACCATGTCCTTTCCTTGGTGGTGGAAGGACAGGGGTCTGGGAAGAAGACATGGGAAAGAGCTCCTCAGATCATTGTCTAAACTGGTGCCAAGCAGTCCTCGTTCAAGGAGTAAGAAGTCTTGTTTTAACTTGATGTACCAAGCCTGACTAAGCACCTAAGCCCTCAGAGGGATCAATTAACAGTTTTGCAGCCTGAGCTGACCCCTGCCCCACTGATACAAGGTGTCGGCGAGCCTGGAGAGACCACAGGATTAGAAAGCTTTCTGGGTGCTTCCTGTGCTTGTCATCTGGAACTGGCTCCGGGATAAAACTTTGGGCTCATACTGTGAGAAGATCGTTCTCAGAATGGAGTGGACCATGATGGGGGCACTGTGTTTGATGTGTGTGTGTGTGTGTGTGTGTGTGGTGGTGAATGGGTATGATGTTTGTAAAATACCCTTTCAGATTTACTGCAAGGACTCATAGGACTCAACATAGGTTACATCCATGCCTTGGATTTATTATAGCAAAAGTATACAAAGAAGAATAGCAAAGACAAAAGGATGTGGGATGAAGTGCAGGAGAAACCAGATGTAAACTGTCTAGAGTCCTCCCCCAATCATGGCATCACATAGGATACACTAATGATTTTCTATAGGTGACCCTGATAGCAGGTGTGGGCATAGTCCAATGCTAATGATTTCCCATAGGTGACCTTGATAGCAGGTGTGGACACTGTCTACTAGGGAGGCTCATTTAAGCTTCATGGAATAAATGTCTATTCAAGTCCTTTGTCCATTTTGAATCAAGGGTTTGTTGAATTTTAGGAGTTTCCTAGATAATTCAGATGTATATTTGTTTGATATATAGTTGGCAAATACTTTTTCTCTATTACATGTGTTGACATTTTGCTCTGTTGATGTCATCTTTTGATGCACAGACATTGTGCATTTTAAGACAGGATTTCTCTGTGTAGTCCTGGCTGCCCTGGATCTCAAAGGGGTTTGCCTGATTCTGCCTCCTCAGTGTTGGAATTAAAGGTGTAGTGTATCTCCACACTGGGAATGCTGTCCTCTTTGAAAACATTATTTATTTTTATATGTTTTATATGTTTCTGCCTGAATGGATGTCTGCACCACAAGCGTGCAGTGTCAGGAGAGGGCATCAGGTGAGTTAGGGATGGTTCTTTGCCTCCATGTTGGTGTTAGGAGATGAACTTGGTCCTCTGCAAAAGCAGTAAGTGCTCTTGACAGCTGAACCATCACTCCAGTCCCAATACGCTTTTTTTTTTAAAAAAATATTTAATGAAAGAGAGAGAGAATATGTGTCTGTATGCATGCCCCAGCATACATGTGACCAGAGGACCTCTTTCAAGAGTTGGTTTTCTCCTTTCGTTGTGGGTCCCAGGGATCAAGCTCAGGTCGTTAGATTTGCACAGCAAATGCATTTGCCCACCGAGCCGTCTCACTGGCTCAGTGTCTTTTTCCTATCTGGGCCATAGTTAGAGCCAGGAGAAGGGAAATAATGTGCCAGGTTTTGGCTGTTTGCTGGCAGTGCTGCCTGGATGCAGGGCTTATGTCATTGGCAAATGTTCCTAGTCATGAATGAACTTCAGAGCCCAGACTTCGGCAGGTTTATTCTGAGGCTAGGTAGCCAGTTCCATGGCTACTTAGAGTCCCAGCTCAGATACTCTCCTGGGGCAGAGATAGCAGAATTGCCGTGGTGTTTTCAGCTTGTTCTTTGCCAAGACCTAGGCTCTGAGAAAAGCCCTTGTCTCCAGTCTGATATGAGAAAGCTGAGTCATCCAGAAGCATCAGCAGGTTGGGGAAAAGGCTGTAGCTGGAGCAACACCTCTTTTAGCCTGTGTTTTCTCTCTAAGGTCCTGGACTTTCTTCTTGCCCCTTCCAGAAACCAAATAGGAACCTTTGCACAAGCTTGCAAAGTACCTGCCCTGCTTTATAAGATGAAGTAGAGTTTCTGAGGTTCCTATAGAGGTCTGCCTGGCACGTGTCTTCAGAGTAACACGGGGTAGGTAGTGATCCCAGCTTCTACACTTGTACCTGCCAGGGTCAGCTAAGGCACACGCCTCCCACTCCCATCCCCACCACGTAGCCAGGGTTCCACTTGATGGGCTATGCCTTGTTTCTCCCTAGAAGAGTACACTGTTTTCTTCCCAGGTCAATACTTAAATCTGCAACAGTCTGTGATGCTTCTGTGGCCATCCGAAACTGAGAGAAGAGGAAATGCCCATAGAAAGGTGCAGTACTGCAGGCTCAGGATCTAGGGTGATTTACTGACCTATGCCTCACTTGGAGCATCAGTAGTTGGAGGTGGGGGCTCTCCATGCGCAGGTGGAAATGTTAGTACTAGCAAAGCCTGGGTATCCCTTGGCAACCAGACTGGTAGTACAGTGCCTTTGACCTTTGCTTCTCATTGCTGACCTCTCTGGGTAATTGGGCCCCTTTGCCTGAAGTTGCCGCAGCCTGGGAGCTGACACACTAACTGAAGGGTGCCCCCTGGTGTCTGTTCTGCAGATCTTCAAGTTCCACTGAAGCTGAACCGGAAGGAGACATAAGCTGGGAAGGTACTGGAGCATCAGTGTCTTCAGCATGAAATATTTGCCTAAGCCTAGGCCACAAAGAGACACTTCCTCCTCACTTCCTGGAAGCATCCATTTAACTTCCCAGGATTTATGCTTAAAAATAAAAAAAAATCAGAAATTTGTTTAAAGATAGATGTTGAGGGTCTGGGGATGTGACTCGGTTGTCAGAATGTTTGTCTAGCGTGCCTGAGTCCCCAGGTTCTGTCTCCAGCATCACATAAACAGGATATAGTAGCACATGCCTGTAATCATACAACCTTCCAACCTCCCCACAGACCTGCAGTTCTAATCAGTCAGCCAGGCTCTGCAGACACAGCTTCTTACCAGGGGTTTTCATTCTTACCAGCTTCCAAAACATTGTTCCAGCTGTTTTTCGTTCTTTTTGTTCTGGTGTCTTTATTCCACTGTGGGCCTGGGGGTATAGCTCAGCGATAGACAGCATGCTCAGCCTATCTGAAGCCCTGGATTCAGTTCATAGTGCGTGCACACACACACTGACACACACACACTGACACACACATACACATGCGCACACACACACACTGACACATACACACGCATGCACACACACTGACACACACACATGCATGCACACATACTGACGCACACTGTATTGGTTGTTTTCCTTGTGACTGACAAGGTGTACTTGGAAGAATGTCATCATAATGACAGGGGCAGATGGTAGGGAAGTTCTTACTCAGTGGTGGACAAGAGTCATCTTGAGACAGGTGGTGGCTATGGACGACCCCCAAGGATTTCCCCCCAGTGACCCATTTCTTCCAGCCAGGCTGCACCTCCCAAAGCTTCCAGAACTTGCCAGTGTAGTGCCACCATCTGGGGACTCAGGCTTCTACACATAACCTGGGGGTCCATTTCAAACTCAAACCATATCAAAGTCCTTTATGATGATTTTAGTAATGCAGACTCCCAGGGGGACATGGTTTTAGGAAGAGCCTATTTCATCACTTTTGTGTGAACATATTGTGGGTTGCTTTTAGGGATAGGCTCATCAGCAAACTCCAAGGCAACTTCTCAGGTGTAATTTATCTTCTAAGAGGTTTAGATTTCACTATGAACAAAACAGTCTTTTGGAGCATTCTACGTAAGTGGGCTGGTAAGAGAAGAGAATGCTTATGTTTTGTTTTGAGACAGGGTACCATGCAGCCTAGGCTGGCCTCATTCTTGCTCTATAGCCAAGGATGATGCTGAGCTTCTGGTCCTCCTTCATCTTTCAGACTTCTGTAAGTGACCCTCACTTATATTTCATAAGCATGCCCAATAAACCCATTGGTTCTCAGAGCTGGACTTTGGTACAATTGTCCTTTGGTTTGGAACACTCCTGTAAAGATGGGATAGATGTTTGTGTATGTCTCCCCAGGGAAAGAGTTCCTGAAACAGTCATTCATTCTAGGCAAGCACTCTAATAGCTGAGCTACACCCACAGCCTGGAACAAACTAGTAAAAGAGCTTGGTTTCCATTTTGCTCAGAAGCGTGACAGATTGTCTCGTAAATGCTGCTGAGTGGTAAGCTTGGGGATGTAATCTGCACTTGTTGCTGTGTTAGTTTCTAGTCACAGTTGCTGTTGGAATGTGTTTTACGGACTGTGTGTCTGGAATATTATTGGATTTTGGTTGGGCATTAACATCGCATCTCTTGATGCACAATGAGGGTGTCTTTAAAGTGAGGAAAACATCCTACGTGCTTGGAAGAAAGGAAGCAAAATCATCCTTCAGTGATGCTTTGTGTGCTTCAGGGTCTTTGCATGAAGAGCAACTGGACTGATTGTCTGGGATTCATTCCTGTTGTACTTTGGTTTCTGGTGCTAGTGATGAGGCTGCATTTAAAACCCTTTAATGTTTTGCTAAAACTGTTCCCTTCCCTTGAGTGATGTTGTGGCCAAAAGTTGATTCATTGTGTGATTGCCTCTGTGCCCTTCCAGTTGAACACAGGACATGTGGTCATATCATTCCACTAAAGAGGAAGGATCTTTACTGATAGATGCAGTTGGAAAAATGCGTTAGGAAATTTGAAAACGCATTTGGAAAATGCATTTGTTTTCTGAGACCTGAAAGAACTTCTGTCCAGGAATTTGGGTCTCAGGTTCTGTGTGAAACTGCTTTTTTGCTTCATCTTTCCTGGGTGCTCTGCCTGTGCAAATGGCTGGGCAGGCATGGCTCCATTTGGGCCTGCTGTTCCCCCCTGGCTTGAGGATAAGGAAGAATTCAGCCCACCCTGTGAACTAAGAGGAGCCAAGTTGGTAGTCTTAGTCATTGCCTCACTGTTGAGTCCAGGTGCAGTTTTCTTGGGGTGAGTTGTTGAGTGGTGGGTTGCCAGTAGGCTTGAAGCTCTGAGCTGGGCCTCCACAAGGTGTGAGTGCAGGGGATAGTTCTTGTGTGGTCCGAAAGCTGAGCTTAGGTGAGGTTACCGGCTAAATGAGAGCTGCCCCTAAGAGGTTCATGTATTTGATCACGTAGTCCCCAGCTGGTGACACTGGTTTGAGAAGTAGAACCTTTGGGATAAGGAGCCTAGGTGGTCGACATTGTCCCTTTGGGGCAAGCCTTGAATATTATAATCCTAGTCTGCTTTGGGTCCCTGCCTCTGCTTCCTGAGCCACTCTGATGTAAGAAGCAGTCCTATAGGTTCCTGCCACCATGGATGGAACCACTCCCAGTTACCCTGCTTTCTTTGCCAAGATGGGCTATGGACACGAGTCAAGACACACCTCTCCTCCCTTCAGTTACTTCTGTCAAATATTTTGTCACTTATAGGGAAGCTTGGTGAACTACAAAGCTGAGACTCTCTTTGAGCGTAATTGTGTTGACCTGCCTGGCCCTGGATACATTGGTTCCCATGTTGTCTCCAGCCTCTGACTTCCTGGAACCCTAGAAAAAGTCTTTTTCCTTCAGGTTTTTAAATTAGCAATGCCAGGAGTTAGTTGTGAAGTCAGGCTCCTGCTGGTTCTAACAATGCAGCTTCATTGCTAATCTGGAGTCCCCAAACTCGTGCCCCAGTGACAAACCTATAGCAACAGCTCTGGGCCCAGAGGTGTTCAGGGTCCTCATCCCCCCCCCCCCTCTTTTTTGAGACAGGGTTTCTCTGTGTCGTCCTGGCTGTTCTGAAACTCACTCTGTAGATCCGGCTGACCTTGAACTCAGTGATATCCCCCCCCCCCCCTCTGCCTCCCAAATGCTGGGATTAAAGGTGTGCGCCACCACGCCTGGCCTCCCAGCTCTTCTTGAAGAACCCTGTGTCCTAGGTATCATGGTCTCTAGAGGAAGGTAGGAGGAAGGAAGGATGAGTGATGTGACCTAACAATGCAGCTTCATTGCTAATCTGGAGTCCCCAAACTCGTGTCCCAGTGACAAACCTATAGCAACAGCTCTCATGTCCTCTCCTCAGATACTGCCTGAGCCCATACCTTCTGAGGGGTGAAGTATATATCTAGCCTGCTTTCACTTTTTTCTCTTACTACACAAACTACCATAAACAAAGTGGCGGACTCAAATCTACAATTTCTCAGTTCCATAAATTAGTGACTCTTCCTGGGCTAAAGCCAAAGTGTGAATGGGGCTGACTCCTCCCAGAAGCTATAGGGCAGAATCTGTTCCCTAGTCTCTTCTGTGGCCCCACTTCAAAAAGGTTTTATTGTCATACAGCACTACCATTAGATTGGGACCAGGCCTTCAACATATGAACTTCGGGGGAAAATTCAAGATCCAAACCCTAAAGGGTTGATGTGTTCCTCATTCCACATCACATTCTGAGAATCAGACCTGCATGCTAGCACCTCAGTGTAACTTTACCTGGAGACAGGGTCATTGTAGAAGTAGTTGAAATGAGGCCATTCTGGATGGAGAAGACACAGGCAGAAATTAGGGGATACTTCTTTACACCGTGGCACAAGAACCACAGATTGCCAGCATCCACCAGCAGCTAGGAATGAGGTCTACCACAATCTCAGAGAGAACTAACTCACCGACACCTTGGTTTGGGACTTCTGTATGATGAAGGGAGAAGATTTATTTCTGTTTCTGAAGCCAACCAGCTTGTGGTACTTGATTTGGCATTTCTAGGAACAGCTGCTGGCCATAAGCCAGAGCAAAGGGTGCCAGATTCTTTAGTGCCAAAAGTGGCTGGCCTTCCTCTGCTTCCAGTTCCCTCCCCCTCCCCTCTGTTGATTCAGCTACACCAGCCTTTGCCACGCTCAGTTTTAACAGCCTCATAGAGTATGAGGGCTTTATTAGTTACTTTTCTTGTTGCTGTAACAAAATACCCAACAAAGGCAGCTTAAGAGAGTTTATTTTTGTGTGGTTTCTAGAATTTTATGTGAATGGAATTTTCCAGTCAGCACTCCACTTTGAATATAGATTGGACTCTTTTTTTTTTTTTAATGTCTTGGAGCCACTCCCCCCATCTTCCGCTTCAAACTGTCCCTGTCCCCGGAACAGCTGACTTTCTTCCATCCCAGCAGTTCCTGGGAGAAACTTACCCAAAGCCAAGATGGAAGGACTTTCTACCACACACTCCGCTGAGTCCTTCCTCTGAACTCTTAGTTCTGTGCAAGTCCAGTCTGTGTGACTGGCCCCGACCTCTGCACCTAGGGGACAGGCTACGATAGGCTCTCAATAGTATCCCTGGCTCCTGGCAGATGCTTCTGTGGCACAGGGGGAGCCCCCGAGGAACAAAGGCACAGCCGTGCTGGGTTCACAAAAGCAGTCCAGGACAGACCTGGCATCCTGGCCCTGTGGTCTCAGGCATTATGGTTAACCCTTCTTTCCTTCCTCTCTTCCCCCTTCCTTATTCCTCCCTACCTTCCTTCCTCTCCTCCCCTCCCTCTGCCACCTTCCTTGTTTCTCCTCTTTTTCCTTCCTTCCTCCCTCGTTCCCTTTCTCTCCCCCTTTGCTCGTATTTTCTAATATTTAAGTTGGGTTCAGTAACAGTGCCATCCCCTAGGATATTGTGAGATCTCAGGGAGGCCATGCATGCCAAGAATTTCCAGAGGCTCCCAATACATAGGTAATCCTTCATTAATGATGGTCAGACATTCTTG